GATAGGAATTCAGCAAAGGCCTTTAAAGTTTACGCCGGAGGAAACGCCTGTTCTGTAGATGGCAAGTTACAAGTTGCCGTCAGCTAGGCGCCGTTACAGAAGACTGTTAGTGAGAAAACAATACCATAAAAACACCACTTTGTGGAAACTTAAACTTATACTCAACTTACATTCTTGGATTTTTCAACGTGTCAAGGAAACAAAAAGATGGTAGAAAGTTTGGAATACATCAGCACACTTATTCATGATAGTTTGGCATACTTTCACTAGCCTGGTTTTCCAGCTAGCAGTTGAAAAACAGCTGGTTTTCTGGTTGATTAACGATTAATAATCTTTAAGAAAATCAGTGCAGTTGATTATTCGTAAAAAAAAAACAGGGTTTTCGTAGTTAAACATTACCATAACGGGTGGAAAAAAAGGTTGGACACGAAAAAGCTATTTTGCTGAAATGTCTTGGAAAGCAAAATAAAGTTACCTTCGGCTTACATTCTTGTATTGTGCAGCGCTTCTAGCAAAAGATGGTGGAAAGGTTAAAATGCAGGTGAAAAGGCTAAAATGCATTAGCACACTTATTCGTTATAGTTTGGTATACTTTGATTAGCGATTAATAGCCTGATTCGCTTGCTAACAGCAGGAAAAATTGTTGTTTTTTGATCAATGCTTCATCGTGATGGTTGGAATCAGCCTGTTTGTGACCCTGGCGTTAGTTTTGTCTCCTGAAATAACCACCAGTTCTTCACTTCCCACTATATATGCATTTTAGCAGCACTTCGAAGCTTACATGGACCTAAACATTCCTATTCAGATTTCAACTTATTCACATTCCCTTTTATTCCCTTCTTACATAAACACACATCATCTAAAATTAAAATTACAATGCATTTTTATTCGCTTTTGTTTTGGGCAAAATAGCAAAAACTCGTGAACAGTGAAACTTTCGAACCTTTTTTGCAGATTGCGAAAGTCAAAGAAACACTTATGGAAAAGTTGGCTTTGGGTGCCCCGTTTCTGAACCAGTCAGTGACGAATAAGCTCACTTCTTCGCTTGCAATGTTTGCGTTATGCTCGATGCCCGATATTTGGCCAGAGCCGATACATGATTTAGCGACAACGTGGAGTGATCAGCCAGAATTGTTGCTGAGGTAAATTTTGACCTCTTTATGTGGGAGTAGGATTTCTTTGTTCGGCGAAAGCAGTTTAACTTCACAAAGCTAAGAAGCTATCTTCCAGCCTTGTTCACGGAACCCTCGATCTTAATCATCTTCAAAAGCTTGTGTTTTTTACTTTGCCTGACATCAGATTCAGACTGTTCCTTACGGATTAGACTAAATTTTTCTTTGATAGTTCAAAATCTTCGGAAGAAGCAGCAAAATCTAATTTTAAGTGATCGTCAGACCAAACAAAAACTGATCTTAAATGTGCTATGCAAGCTTATACAAGCGGTGAGGACCCAATCACAAAAATGAAATAAACCAATCTGCCTTCGATTTTTTCATTAGTTTCGGTGGTAAAATTGATTCTGGCGCATGCCAAGAAGTCAAACCTGCTATAAGCCCACCTTGGTAGCCCTCGAATGAAGGAAACGTCGATAGCCTTGCTAGCAAGTGGTTGTTTTTGGCAGCTTCTTTCGTCGAAGTACTTCTGAGTGGTTCTACTTCTCAGAAATAT